CTTGAAATAATTGAGGACAGCAGAGCAGGTGAAATAGTTCCATGATGTGCATCAAATCATGATGTGTAAGATCATGATTGTAAGACAAATGTTCTCAAGCACTACACCTGCTAGTCAATTTCCTATAATTATAAATAATTACTATTTCAAATTAGGTAACCTGTGAATTAATAAAACTTAATTGCAAAGAGAAAGTGCAGAGGAAGCAGACCATCTAAAAAGCGGTTTAAGTAGTAGTAGTAGTAGTAGTAGTAGTAGTAGTAGTAGTAATAATAATAATAATAATAATAATAATAATAATAATAATAATAATAAAGTTGGAAGGGACCTTGGAGGTCATCTAGTCTAACCCCCTGCTCAGGCAGGAAACCCTATACCATTTCAGACAAATGGCTGTCCAGTCTCTTCTTAAAAACTTCCAGTGTTGGAGCATTCACCATGAATGAAGTTCTCTAGTTTTCAACATTCACACTAACCCAGGGTCAGCAACCATAAACACTCAAAGAGCCACTTGGACCCGTTTCCTACAGAAAACACTGGGAGCCGCAAAATTTGCACACGCATGTGTGCGTGCCAGAAGGGGGAGGCTTGATTGAAGAGTCTAATTAAAAAGAAATAGAGGGTGCTGTGCATGACTTCTCTCTCTCCCTCTTTCTCTCTGTCCTCTCCCCCTCCCTCTCTTTCTCTCTCCCTCTCTTTTTTTCTCTCTCTCCCTCTCTCTTTCCCTCTCTCTCCCTTCCTCCCTCTCTCTCCCTCCTCCGATCTGCTCACCTGGCAAGCTGGCTTCAAGCTGTTCTCCAACAAGCTGACATACATTCTTATTGAGCTGGTTCTCTCCTGCCCTTCCTGCTTCCTACTGAGATGCAGCCAAGACAGGAGCCCTGCCCAATAAGCTTGTCAGCTTGTCAGAGAACAGCATGAGGCCACTCTCTTTTTACACACACAAACACAAAGAGAGAGAGAGAGAGAGAGAGAGAGAGAAGGGAAGTGCAAGTGCCCCCCCTCTCTCTCTGCAAATGGCAGAGGAGGCTGGGAGCTGCAGGAGAAAGCTCAGTTCCCTGGGACTCCCAATCCTGATGAGAAAGCCATATTTTCAGGCATTTTTGGAACATAAAAAAGGGTTAGATAACCTGTGACTTGCTGGGTCATTGTTCCTTCTGCATATAATATGGGATTGCATTATTTGCCTTTAATTCACAACCCTCCGAAGAGCCTCAAAGAAGTCTCTTCCTTGTTTTCCTTGGCTGGCCCATGAAACTGCTTGCTATTTTGTTGGAAGTAGGGAAACTATGGCGCCACAATTGAGGAAAAATGAATGTCTGCCCTCCATTCTGGCATATCCCCCAAAATCCATTCCCTCACCTATCAACTGCTAGTGTTCCCCCCAGCTAGCCCTATTTTGCCAGCAGGCATCTGAATTGCTCTTTTGTTCTTCCACCACAATGCATCATTGCATTCTGCACCAGCCGATGCTTCTGGATACTCTTTAATACAGTGAAATTAATTTCATTTTGTTTCATTTATATTAAATTGAGAAACTAAATATAATTTATTTAATTTCTGTCTGGTCATGTATTTTAATACCAATAGTCCTCAATTTATAACAGTTCATTTAGCGACCACTCAAAGTTACAATAGCACTGAAAATACTGATTTATGACCATTTTTCACACTTATGATGGTTGCAGCATCCCCATGGTCATATAATCAATATTCAGACACTTGGCAATTGACTCATATTTATGAGGGTTGCAAAGTCCTGTGATCACCTTTTGCAATCCTCTGTCAAGCAAAATCAATGGGGAAGCCAGATTCACTTAACAATCGTGTTACTAATTTAACAACTGCATCAATTCACTTAACAACTGTGGCAAGAAAGGTTGTAAAATGGGACACTTAACAAATGTTTCACTTAGCAACATAAATTTTGAGCTCAATTGTGGTTGTAACTCAAGGACTACCAGTAACACATTTGTTAAATAAAAAACTGTTTCTTAACAATTGTCTTGCTTAGCAACAGATGTCGGGCTTAATTGTGATTGTAAGTTGAGGACTACTTATATTTTTCTCCTCTCACGTTATAGCATTATAATTACATACATTTCAAAAGTCCCTGAAGTCTTATCCAAATTTTCTGAAGATTGTGTGTAATTCTGGAGACTTGGTATAGTCATTTCTGATTTATGACATTATAAAAACCCGTTAAATAAACCATGGCTTAATACAATGTATGAACATTTGTGTTAGTGAAATTAAATTCCACTATTTCATTTCCATTTTCTATCCATGACAGTTTTGTCCCAAAATATTCCATAAAGTAATATCATAGATTCAATAATCTAGCCTGCTCAGCATAGATTGTCCTGTTCATGTTAATGGCTGTAATCACTCACATCAAAACCAGTTAAATCTGGAAGATAAACCAATTTGGGTGCAATCTGATCTCAAAAGTTCCCAGAGTGCTTGCACAAACTGTTATTAAGATATGATTGCCAGATCCCAGCAGTCCGTACCAAACTGAATTCTTTTTATCTTGTAATTTTTGCCATTTTAAGATCTCTTCCTCTGAAATAACCAGCAACTACTGAGACCTGGTACATGCAAATCAAAGTCTTCTTTTTTTTATAACATAAAATTTAAGTTACAGTGGAACATAAGAAAATTAGCAATAAAATAGGTTTGGATATTATCTGGCAGCAGACTTTATGATCTGTAGTCTTACGAGATCAGAATACTAAAAAAGCAGTTTAAAAACAGTTCACTATTTGATTGCAAAGCCTTCAGAATAATCAGTCTACTTGACTAGCCAAAGTGCCTCCTGCCTGAAATATCTCCTGCCTCCTCTGTTCATAAGCTGATCAAGGCTGCACATAGTTCAGCCAGTTCTTTCTTAGCCAACTTCTCTAGCTGATTTGAGTGCCTTTGAGAAAAAGAAACAAAGCAGAAAACCCACAGAAGCATATGTCCATAAAAAAGCAAGCTTCAAGCCTTTGCATAGAAATCTGTGGCTTGCTGTTGCTAGGAGACAACCACAGCAAATTCTCTAGTGGCCAAAGTGAACGACAGTGTAAATGCTTCCTGGTGGCAATGTTGTGTTCCATAAGACTTTGAAAACTTGGCTTTGCTCTCAGGCCTGGGGGGGCAGCATGATTGCTGAACCCCTGCCAGTTTTGGGGAAATTGATATTATTCCATTGTGTTTTTTTTTTTTTTTTCATTTTGGAGGCACTTTGTGGTGTTATTTTTCTTTTTCTTTTCAAGACTATGAATTTTAATACAATATGTAAACCATGCAGAAACCTTTTCAGTCTAGCGATCTCTAAATCTTACAAAATAAATATATACAGTAGATAAGTAAACAAATAAATCTAGACACCTTCTAGTGGCCAGATTGTATAGCAACATATTTGGGAATTGCTGCAAGTTAAATTCAATTAAAATGATGTGGGTCAGTGTTGATAAGTAACTTAGTGAAATTCCATCTCCCAAGTTTTAGAGCAGTGAAACCTAAAATACAGACTATGCTACTCTCCCACCCAGGCCAGGAAAAAACAAGAATTAAAAAAGGAGCCAAAACAAGCTCAAAACAAGTCTGGAAGAGCCCAAGAAAAGAAGAAAGCCCAAAGGAAGCAGAGAATGCTGTAAAGCAGGGCAGCTTTCCAAGGCTGAGATCAGCTTTGAATGCCACTGAAAATCTTGGAGCAGTGCAAAAGATCCATATGGAACTTGAACATGCCTGGACAAGAAATGCGAACAATTTGAACATAGAAACAGAAAGAAATACAGGCAGTATGCTACAACCAGTAAAGCAATCCCCAGACATCTCAATGAGCAACATCATAGTACACAAACACCATCCCACAAATTCTCAAAGAAACTCCATATTCCCAGGAAGAAAGATTGACAGTTAAATCTTCCCTCTCTTCCCATGTCTCAACGTCTCCAGCACTTTCTGGGCACATCTGCCACTCTGGGCAGTCCACATGCTCAAGTAATACTGTATTCATCACTATTGGTGTCCAAAAGAGAACAAAGACAGTATCTAATCACAAATGTGCCAAGCTCAATAAAAGGAAAGTCCCCTTAAAATTGAGAGGAGCACTATCAGGTTCAGAAGCAGTTGAAGCAAAAGCACAGGTGGTATGAAAGGCAGCTAAAATGAAAGTACATCTAGGAGCCCAGAAAGAAAGGAAGGTAGCAGCCCAAAGTACAGTGAGAGCTGAAACACACTGCTATCCAATGTCGTAAAACTACTCAGAGGAACCCACCATCATTAAAACATGACAGAACAACAACCAGAACCAAAAGGGTTAGAAGGTTCGAGTATTTAGTTAATGGAATTGTTTTCACGTATTGGACTAAAGAGTCCATTATATTTTTGTGCTTTATTAACAATTTCACAATTAAAATAAAGTAGCAGTGAATAAACAAGAAGGGGTTTCAAACTTTGTGCCTGCTATATTCACTAATTTCTTATTTTGAATATATAAATAATTGCATATACATAATAGGCATGCATTCTGATCTGCAGAAATATGTAATATAGGAATGGTGTCAGTTTCTGTTCACTTAAGGATTCATGGAAACCTTTTGATCAGGAATACCTAAACTAGTCTATTAAATTTAGGTACTAAAAACATGTAACTGATGAAATTCTTCAAATTTCAGATTGGGAATAATCTCATGATCTCAGAATAATCACCAAACCAGAAAAACTATTGAACATAACTACATAGGTGAATGCAGCTGAGGAAATGAACACATACAGACTTAAGAAAATAACACTAATTATTTATCTTTTACTTTTTCTTATTTGAAATTACATAGATAATGAAAATACAGCCTATACATGTGTCAAACTATTTATAAAAAACCTTACAGGAAAAAAGATCAGTATCAAATTCAGATAAGGACAATTTCTCTCAAAATTTGTCTGAGGCCTTTCTATGAAAAGGATAGGATATTGCAGAACTCTAAAACGGCATCACTTTTTATTCTCACCTTTGGCCATTTTATTGAGAACCATGTCAATTAGGATGTAGGTTCCAGTTCTTCCTGCACCATCACTATAGACAATGAGAAAAAAAATCTAATTCAATGTGCAAAAAATCCTAACAAAATTAGAGTTTATCTTTTTAAGATGTAAATATAACTAGGGGACTAAGCTGAGATGGAGAAGCACATCATATAGTTAGGTAATAGTGACAGAAAAAAAACTTTTTTTAAAAAATGAATTATTCATGCATATTACTTGGTCTGGGTGCATATGAACAGTAAAGCTTTGAATAAAGAATTTATTCCTATAAAGACAAAAATACACATATTTGGGAATAATGTCATTTTTTTATTTAACACAAATAAGCATAGAAACCTGCCTGCATAATGAAAAGCTGTTCAACTTGGCTTGTTAGAAAAAATCAAAAAGAGCAAAATGATTTTCCCCAAATGATAGTACTCTCTAAATTTCCGAAACTTTCCTGGCTCTGCAAGCTGACCTGTTTCTCCTCCTGCTGTGAAAAACCTTTTGTTATTTAAAGGGCACATTATTCTTCACAGAGAAATTGGATACCAGCCACCTGAGTCTGGAAAAAAGATATGGCTAACTACTTTCTTTCATTTCTACAGAAAAACAATTTTAAAAAGTTGCCACGCATATTCTGTGCACTATTTTTAAACTGCTCAGGGAATTACTGTTCAGGAATGACAACAAAAATGGAAATTTGTCATAGAGCAGTGTAAATATGTCAAGATTTGTAATCTGAATATAGTTTTCACTGGGGTCAGCTTTTATCTAGAAATGTAATGCTTTCCGTATCTATTGCGAGCAAACATTATTAAGATTCCAGCAGTTTTCTTTTTGTGTTTTTTCCCACTTTCTAACCTATAACGGGCTTTTTGACAATACTTCCATGAAAGAGAATGAGTCCATTTGAAGTGATTATTCATTTTAATTTTTCTTACTATATACTGTAGAAAGTTTTGAGGCATTGTAGGAAGAAAAAGATATGATAACAATAGTGAAATGTTGCGTACAATCTGAGTGAAAGGTAATTTGCTGTTTCAAATTTATTAGCCACAGAATGATGCTTGGGTATCACTAGACAAGGGGCTCAAAATAAATTAAAAATAAGAAGCAGAGACATTTTTGTTCATTAAAATAACAGACTTGGTCATAATAATGTACATAAATTTAAAAAAAACCACATTCCTGAGCCTATAAAAAAATCACTTACATTGTAATGTTAATGAATTTTTGGAATTAATGTAATTCTTGGATTAAATACTCAACCTGCACATTCTGTGATAAAACAAAATATATACAGTAATCTATTTAGGAATCCATTTTTCAGCTGGATTACAAAGTATTTTTTATTGTCATAGAGAATGACAAAAGTTATTTTACCATAAGTTTATTCCTATTTAACATTTTCATAATATAAACCCTGCTTCTTCTACTTCTTCAGGTCTTGTAAAACTGTATGGCAAAACAGCCTCAGAAGATAAGGGCAGTCTGAATTTTCTATAAAACATAATTGTGAATAGATCACAATATACATACACATGGTAATTATACTTTATTACTGCACTATGAGCAAAAATGTAAAGGTTTTTTAAAAATGTGTGTTAAATGCAATTCAGTAACAGATGAAAAGGGTTATTTTTTTTGTAGTAGTATAATCCTATGCAGCAGGGTTTATATTATGAAAAAGTAAATTCCATTTGACTCAATACATTTTTTGCCCAAGCAAAAATATGTACAATTGCAATATATATTAAATGTGTATGCTACGACTTCCTAAAAACAAACAATTTCTGTAATCATTTGGCTGAGATCTGACCACAAGTTTTAGATAATTTAAGAAAAATCTTTTCTTAAGAAACCAGTCTATACAAGAAGATTGTCAAGAATTTTTGCAGAAAATATGAATTCGTCAGAATTATAAGGCATTTGATTTGATAAATCAATGTACAAAGCTATTAACATGTAAGTTTCATATGCGTTGTTTTAAAAAAAATTATACTTGCCTGCAATGCACAACTATTGGACAAGAACGGCCCCTGTAGCACTTGTTTATTTTTCTGCAATAAAACAAATACAGATTTGATAAGTATTAATAATTATCTAAGAACATAACATTTTTCAGGAATCAAAAAGAATTTAAGTCATAAAAACATATTATTAAAATAATAGGATAACAGGTGTAATCCTTAAAATATTATCCCCGCACAAGTGACTAGAATTAGTAAGTGTATTTTATAATGCTTATAGAATTACAATCTAGATTAATTTGTTATCAACAAATCCTTCATTCCATTTTCACTGCTATTTAAATTATTGTAGAGCTTGTTTAGATTTGGTTAGCACAATGTATGAACTCAATCATTATGGATTCTAAACTATATATAAGTTTTAACATTATGTGTGAAATCAGGCTTATTCAACAATAAAACAAATTTTAACTTAGCATGTGTGGTGCCAACACAGAGAATTATAATTTCCTCATAATCTTAAAATATCATGGTTTCCAAATGTTCCCTGTCTGTATTGTATATTCTCTTGAATTGTTGAACCAAAGACTATGTGTTCTTACATAGCAATAACAAAATAATAAAATGGTGCTTTCCTGCATTTCTTATATTAGTAATACAAATGACAACAAATCCTGCTTTGGTTAAAGTGTGTATTAATAGATCACTTTCAGCTCTGAGGCAGTATTAGCAAAATTCTGCTTCAAAAGCTAATACAGTTTCATTGAGAACTTTTGCTTTGAAAGATATATACATTCCTAAATAAATCAATGCTTAAAAGCTACTACCTAAAAATATATATTTCTTAATTCAAAGAACAATACATGAAAAAACCCTTAATTTTGCATATATAACTGCTGTATTTATATAGTACATTTTATTTTCTGATCTTTTCAAATATACAATAAATATATTCAGAGATATAAACTTTAAACATCTGGAAACAGAATTTCAGTGTGAACACACAAACATATGCACGCACCACGCATGCACAATATTTTATAGGCATAATTCAAAATGTTATTTTTAACTAAAACATTCCTAAATGACAGAAACTTTTATGATTCTCCTCTTGTAGGTATACATATACCTATAAACTTACACATGTACATGTATATGTCTAGCAACTAGTACCAGATTTCTTTTTTATAGAAATCTGTTCTGTATAAAATAAATATATACTTTCTTGTTTCCTAATTTAAGAATAACTCCCCCTGTGTAAAAAAAATGGAATTAATAAATTCACATCATTTATTCCAGTTCATGAATGAAGAAGAACCATTAGCTTGAAAAGACCAGGAAAGAATCAATTCAAACCAGCATTAAAATTCTACTGATTTACAAGTTTACATAAATAATATAACAAATCAATCACTTTTCTCTAATTTAAGTATCTTCAGTTAAAGGCAGAGAAGATGGAGTGAGAAGTAGCTGCATTTTGCTGAATAGAAGGAAGAAGAATGCCTTAGGGAAAAATCAGGGCCTAATGTCTAAAATTCATTTTTGATGAGAATGAGGAACATAGATTTAGACATCAGAATGGAATAAAAATAAAGCTCTGTATAAATCATGTAAAACTGCTTAGGAAAATAATTTAGTGCCAAATTGGAGATGCTGTGTAACACTTAGTTGAAACAAAGGCAATAGTAATTGATGCTGGCCTTAATGACAAGTATAACATTTCAAACAAAGACTATATAGAACAATGATTCCTGGACTGAGTTCAGGACATGTCAGAACAAAGAAAACAGATTTCCTGTAAACTGATAGGTGAACTTTTGTAGTGATTTGGTGGTCCTAATTTAAGGTAGTTCACTGCTCATATGAAGGGATTTTTTTTTTTTTTAAAAAAAATAGTGCTGTAAGATTATAGGACAACCCCCTCTATGCCATTGTAGGAAGGAAATCAAAACTTTCCCTGCCATTTTATCTTCTCCTGTTCCCCAAGTTCCAAGCTTTTCTAGGGCAAAAGGGGAGAAATAACACTAAAACAAAAAATAACAAATTTAACAAAAAGTTTGACATTGGCCACAGATGGCAACCCATTCAAATAAACATTCCCTGGTAGAATGTTTATTTGGTAGACCCACAACCTCCCCCTCAAAGAACACATGCAGACATCTAGCAAAGAAACACCAAATTACCCCTAAAAGAGTCACATTAACAGACTTTCGGTTTTGCGTTGCAGCAGAACGGGACACAGGAAGGTAGGGCTCTGCCTTCCGTGCCTGATTTCGCCCTGCTGGAGGCCCTAAAAAGGGCTTAAAGTCACCCCAAAGAGGCGATGAAGAAGGAGGGGTGTCTCGTCGATTTGTTCGATCTGAAAAAAGCTCTCCAAACCAGCAGGGGAAAGACTGGCTACATTCCTATGGCCAGCCATTAGCTGCTGACAACCAAAGAAAAGAATCAATTAACACAGCATAAACAGCATGTTTGGAACTAGATGAGAATATTGATCCTTTCTTTATTATTTTACAACTGAATTTCCTGGGAAAGGATCCCAAGAAGCTAAAAACCTCTGAATGTAACAGAAGTGGCATTTTAATTTCTATGCGGGACAGAAATACATAATATTGAAGTGGAAATAATATAAAACTACAGTTTTGAAATTTGAGAACTGAGATAATTATTAAGAGTTTCTCTCTGGAAAAAAACTGAGGGAAATATTAGAAATCAATCCTTTGTTTTAAGAGTGGAAAATGGATTTTAAATGACATCTAGTGGTGGATCTGAGTACAGCACTATAACTAGATTCCTGCCTGTTTAGTGATTCCTAGCCTAAGGGAGAACAGCTGGCAATAAAGGAAAATATTTTGGCATACTTATCACCTTGACCTTGTTGGATTATAAACACCCACTGAGCTTGGACTTATAATCTTAAGAGCTAGTAGAAGAGAAAGAAAAACTTGACCTTTGGTTATGTCTGGCTGGGGTAGTCTTTTGAGCTGTTCTCAGGGAGGTTGAACACGTTGAACACTGTGGATTATAATATTGCCTGACTGACAATTTTTGGAAGCCTGAGACAAAAGATCACTATAAAATATTGCTTTTGGGACTGGACCTATACTCTAAAATCTATTGGATTATAAAGGCTGCATATAAAGATCAGAAAGCTAAAGGAAGCTTTGTTCTACTTTTATTGAGACTGGTGATATCACAGGATCTCCAGGAATAACAACAACAACGATAAAGTTGGAAGGAACCTTGAAGGTCATCTAGTCCAACCCCCAACTCAGGCAGGAAACTCTATACCATTTCAGACAAATGGCTGTCCAGTCTCTTCTTAAAAACTTCCAGTGTTGGGGCATTCACAGCTTCTGGGGGCAGGTTGTTCCACTGATTAATTGTTCTAACTGTCAGGAAATTTCTCCTTAGTTCTAGGTTGCTTCTCATGAAAACAGGGAAAAATATACTCGGAAAAAGACTGCCCCAACTCATCAGGAGGGCTTTAAACTAATATTAAGGGGGAATGGTGACTAATCTTTAGAATCTCTAGAACACAAAACCAGTCATAAATCCCAAGAAAACAAATCAAACAATGAGGTAGGGAGTAATGAGAAAAAAAGAAAAACTCAAACAACAATCAGGAGATGCAGGAAACATACTCACAGACAGGCATAAATGTCTTAAATGCTTATATACAAATGCTCAAAGCTTGGTGAACAAGCAGGGTGAACTAGAAGTAATAGTACACAAGGATGGTATGACATAGTTGGCATTACAGAAACCTGATGAGACAAAACTCATGACTGGAATGGACTGATGGATGGATACAAATTGTTCAAAAGAAATAGATCTACAAAAAGAGGAGGGGGACGTGCACTATATGTAAGAGAACCCTACATAACTACAGAAATGCATTCATCAAAGATAAAATCTCTCCAGAATGTATAAACATAAAAGGGAAAAAAGTGACATTGCCATAGGTGTATATTACAGGCCTCCCAAGTAATCAGAAGAAATAGATAAACTCTTTACCAACCAGTTAACAAACATATGTATACCACAGTAGTATACCACAGTAGTAATGGGAGACTTCAACTATCCAGCTATCAACTGGGAGACAAACTCTGCAGAGAGTGGGAGATCAAACAGATTCTTAAACAATGTAGCTGACAACTTTATCATCCAAAAGGTGGAGGAGGGAATGAGAAGAAAAGCTATACTGGACCTAATTCTTACTAAAAAAAAGAAGTAATGATGATGATGATGTTGGAAGGGAATTTGGAGGTCATTTAGTCCAACGCCCTGCTCAGGCAGGAAACCCTATACCATTTCAGAAAAATGGCTGTCCGGTCTCTTCTTAAAAATTTCCAGTGATGGAGCATTCACAGCTTCTTAGAGCAGGTTGTTCCATTGATTAATTGTTCTAACTGTCAGGAAATTTCTCCTTAGTTCTAAGTTGCTTCTCTCTTTGGTTAGTTTCCATCCGTTGCTCCTGCCTTCAGGTGCTTTGGAGAATAGCTTGATTCCCTCTTCTATGTGGCAGCCCCTGAGATATTGCAAGATTGCTATCATGTCACCCCTCGTCCTTCTCTTCATTAAACTAGACATACCCAATTTCAGCAACCATACCTTATATGTTTTAGCCTCCAGTCCCCTAATCATCTCTGATGCTCTTCTCTGTATTCTTTCTAGAGTGATCTTGATTTTATCCCTCTGTTAATGCAGCTTAGCACTGTGTTGGCTTTTTGGGTAGCTACAGCATACTGCTGGCTCATGTTTAAGTGATTGTCTCCAAGTTCCCTCTCATAGTTGCTACTATTGAGTAAGGTACCGCCTATACTATATCTGTGCATTTGGTTTTTCTTGCCTAAATGTAGAACCTTACTTTTTTCATCATTTAATTTCATTTTGTTAGATTATGCCCAATGTTCAGGTCTGTCAAGATCCCGGAACTTTGGGTGAAAGTGACCATGTCATACTGAAATTCAATATAATGCAAATACAAGCAATAGAAAATAATCCAACCAGAAACTTCAAAAGAGGTGATTTTAACAAACTCAGAGAGAACCTAGGAAAGATTCCATGGATGAAAATCCTAAAGGGCA